AACAATATCTTCCTGATGAATCCAGGTACATTAAATATCTGTAATGATGACTAAGACAGTAAAACAGCTTTATTTTCTTCCTTGAATTTCTCCTTTCTTTACCATTAAAATTGCTCTGAAAAGCTTAAAAAGCTTGGAGTCATATCTCACCCATCTAACATCATAAAATAGTTCTCTGAACATAACCGTAGGTGAAACAATGTATAATGCTGATGAGGAGGAGGCTGATAAGAATGTAACTGGAGGTCCAAGCCTGGGCATTTGTGTAAGACTCTTTGCTAGTGAGGAGAAGGATTACTTGATACTCTGTGCCTGCATATGGGGTGGGATTTGAGAGAGGAGAAATGTGGTTGCAGACTCTCTGGTGGGAGAGAGACTTTGGGAAGTAGTCAACATGTAGAGGAATAACATTGCCACAGCAGAGAGAGGCTGCCAGGGTAAAGTTATATCTCTCTGCCTTGCTAAATATCGCTAGTCTAGGAAAAATGACTTCTAAGTTCAAACTGCTTTCTTGGTCTCCATTTCTCTGAAGATTAGTCTCCCCACCAAATGCTAGTTACACAAATCAATCAATTAAGAAACATTTATTAAGTACCTACTATGTTCCTAGATACATAGGAGATAGCTAGATGGCTCAGTGGATAGAGTTCTGGGCCTTGAGTCAGGAAGACCTGAGTTCAAATGTGACCTCAGAGGCTTACCAGCTGTGTGACCCTGGGCAAGTCACTTAACATGTTTGCCTTAATCCTCTAGAGAAGGAAATGGCAAACCACTCCAGTATCTTTGCCAGGAAAACCCCATGGATGGTGTGGTCCACTGGGTCACAAAGAGTCAGACACTATTGAATGACTGCACAACACAAGTGTCAGTATCTGTGCTAGGTTCTGGGGATGAAGACAATGTGAGGAACAGTTCCTATTCTCAAGAAACTAACACTAATAATCCTTTAAAACTTCGAGAATCTCATTTGCCAAAACTAATGGTCTTTTCTCCAGCTTTCTCCTTCTTGGCCTTTCTTCAGCCTTTACCTCTGTCAATCACTCTCTCTCTCTAGCTTTCAACAATATTATTCTCTGCTGGTTCTTCTCCTACTTGCCTGAAATTTCTTTCTCAGTTTCTTTTCTCAGATCCATATTTGGGTCACACACACTAGGATGTGTGCACACTAACTGTGGCTGTTTCCCATGGATGATTTTCTCTTCTCTCACTATACATCTCACTTGGTGAGCTTATCAACTCTTGGAGGTTCTATTATATCTGTACAGAAGATTTCCAGATCCATATATCCAGTACTTTTCTCCCTCCTGAGCTCTAGCTCCACATCATCAACTCACTTTGGAAGATCTCAAATTGGATGTACTATAGGCATTTCATAGTAGCTGTTCAGTCATTTTGCAGTTGTGTCTGACACTTCATGACCCCATTTGGGATTTTCTTGGTAAAGATATTGGAGTGGTTTGCCATTTCCTTCTCCAGCTCATTTTACAGTTGAGGAAACTGAGGAAAACAGGGTTAAGTGCCTTGTGCAGGGTGACATAGCTAGTAAGAATCTGAGGTCAGATTTTTATTCAGATCTTTCTGACTCCAGGGTCAAAACTATATCCCAAACTCTGTCTCTCTCTCTCTGTCTCTCTGTCTCTCTCTCTGTTTCTCTCTCTTCCTCTCTCTCTTGTAATTTTCCCTTTTTTGTTTTGATTCTTCTTTCACAACATGACTAATGTGGAAATAAGTTTAAAAAAATTAAAAAAAAACATTTTGGCTTTTAAAATCCTTCACAACATGATCCCATCTTACCTTTCCAATCTTCTCACTCTTTATTCCCTTCCACGGACTCTATGATCTAAAACTGGCTTTCTTGTTGTTCCTCACAAATGACCTTCTATCCCCTGATTCTGTGCCTTTTCAATGTTCCTCTATGCCTGGAATGTTCTCCTTCTTCACTTCTGCCTCCTTTAAGATTTATCTTAAATGCTACCTTTTGCTATTGGCCTTTTCTCTTGTATAAATGTTGCATGGTGGGTAGGCCAAAAACTATTATCCCCATTTAGATGAGGAAACTGGGACTCAAGAGAATGTGAATGACTTATCCAGGGTGGCACAGCTAGTAAGTGTCAGAGCCAGGATGCAAACCAAGATCTGCTAGCACTCTTTCCACGATACTATGTTGTCCCTCTATTAAACTTACTCCAGGGACATTTTTATTGTCCTCCCCCGTCCCTGCATTGGATTATAAGCTACTTAAGGTAGAGACTATCTGTTTTTCATCTTTATGTCATGTGAACCAAACAAGGCAATTTGTACATGGTAACTATAAAATAAATATTTGTTGCATTGAAATGAATTGAGTTATTGTAAATCTAATGTAGTTGGGCTCAGTGCTCATATTTGGCAGCTAGATGGTGCAGTGGATAGAGTGCTGTGCCTGGAGTCAGGAAAACAGTATCTTTTTTACTTCAAATCTGGCCTCAGACACTTACTAGCTGTGTGGCCTTGGGCAAGTCACTTAGCCCTGTTTGCCTCAGTTTCCTTATTTGTAAATTGAGATGGAGAAGGAAATGACAAACCACTCTAGTATTTTTACCAAGAACACCCCAAATGGGGTCATTAAGAGTCCAATATGACTTAACAACAATAACAACACACAATACCATGAGAAATGATGAACATGAGAGATTCAGAAAACCAAGGCATACACATACACACACACACGTAAAGGAAAACAAGACATGAGAATTCAGTTGGGTTCTCTGATCCATCTCAATTCCAGAGGCTTGATGGTCAAGCACACCTCCCTCCATTTGGTAAAGAAGTCCAGTGTGAGGCATTTGCTGTTGGACATGATCATTGTGTTAAATTCATCCACAAACATTTATTAAGCACCTACTATTTACCAGGCAGTGTTTTAATTAATTGTGCTTCTTCATTACAAAAGAGGATTTTACTGTGGGAGTGGTAAGATTATTGAGAGTCTACATAGATCTAAAAAAGCAAAGCATTAACAAAATGCTTTACTTTTTTTTTTTCTTTATAAAAAGAACCCGTTATAGAGTCTGAGGCCACAAGCTTAAGTTCTGGCTCTGTTACTTACTTTATATGTGACTTTGAACAGGTCTTTCCCTCTCTGTGGCTTTTAATTTGTTCATCTATAAAACGAGGTGGTGTTGCAGTCACTAGATGACATCTATGGTTTCTTATAGTTTTAACTCTACTACTAACTCTTCTACTATGAGATGCCAAATCAAGTGGTGGTTGATTGAAAAGAAAGGCATTAAAGCCATTGAAACTACTTTTCGGTACATCTTGTTATATTCCTGTTAAACTCCTTAATGAATGAACAAGCATTAAGTGCTTACTCTCCTCCAGAAAGTATGCTAGGCACTGGGGATCCACGTACAATGAGTGAAACAACAAATGTATTTACAAACACGTCATAAACAGAGTTGATAAATATGAGTATGTACAAAGTAGCTAAATACAGGGTAGTTTGAGAGACAGTGCCCTTGCAGTTTGGGCGATTAAGAAAGGCTTCATGCAGAAGATGATTCCTAAGCTGTACCTTAAAGGAAGAGAGGGAATGTAATGTAAGGAGAGAGTATATTCTAGCCATGTGGAATGTCCAAGGATGCAAAGATGTCTCCTACATCTCCTTATCCCTTGTGGAACAATGCACAGTGCCTTGTATGGAATGACTTAATAAATAGCTGTTGAACAAATAAGCAAGTGAATGAATGGATAATGACAAAATTAACTATTAGAAAATTTCAGAGAGGCTGCTCCATATGCAGGCTTTTAAAAGACCAACAGAATGTTTAGTCCCAAGGACTAGATATAGGACTTAACAAGGTCAGTTTGTTTCAATTCCACAAATGTCTATGAAATACTTAATGTGTGCAAAATGCTTTGCTAGGGGCTGGAAAGTTTTAGAAAAGGAGCAAATACCTGACCACATAGACCAAACACCTAAAGAGCAAGTAAAATTAGTTAAGTGCCTTTAATACTCTGGGCACTGTGCTAGGCCTGGGGATACAAAGACAGTCCTTTTCCTTAAAGTGTTTACATTATATTGGGAGAGTAGATAGATAGATAGATAGATAGATAGATAGATAGATAGATAGATAG